ATCATTCTTGTGGGTTGCATTATGTTCCCTTAAAAGACACTCCCCACCACTAGCACCCACCCCTCCCAAACCCTGCCTATTCATATGTAAGTAACGTCCTGGTTGGACTGGGACTTTGTAGATGTAATTAAGATGAGATCATACTGGGTTAGATAAACTCTAATCCAGTGACTGGTATCCTTAAAAGAAGAGGGAAATTTGGACACAGACACTCAGCCAAGAAGGCAAGGTGAAGATGGAGTGATGCATCTCTAAGCCAAGGAATACCAAGGATTGCCAGAGGAGGCAAGGAAGGATTTCTCCTGGGGGCCATGGCCTGTTGTGTCACTGCCTAAGCTCCACACAACTCTCCCCTCATAAAACTTAGGAACCAGGCTGCACAGCATGATGAGGCAAGCAGTGAGTGAGCAGCTAAGCTTCATCTGTATTTACAGCTGCTTCCAGCTCCCCATCTCTCCCATCAATGCCAGAACTCTGCCTCCCGCTCCTCGCCCCTGTGGAAAATTGTCTTCCATGAAACCAGTCCCTGGTGCCAAAAAGGCTGGGGACTGCTGGCTTAGCCCTTTGGATACTTTGCTTTCAGACTTCTAGCTTCCAGAACTGTGAGAGAATAAATTTCTCTTGTTTTAAGCCACCCAGTTTGTGTTAATTTGTTATGGCAGCTCTAGGAAGCCAGTATGTGTAGTCATCAAAAGCCAGGAAAATCTGAGAAATGGTCACAGTCTAAAGGAGCCTAGGACTAATGTGCTATTGTGGATGGGATTCTGGAACAGAGAAAGACACTAGGTAAAAAACCAAGAAATGCTGAATAAGGTTTTGATATTAGTTAATAATAAAATATTAATATTGGTTCATTAATCGTTTCAAAACACCATGCTAACATAAGATGCTAACAGTAAGGAAATGGGGTATATAGGAACTTTCCTGTATTGTCATTACAACTTTTCTGTAAATGTAAAATGATTCAAAAATTAAAGTTTATTTTAAAAACCCAGAATTTAGCTGTAATTTTAATTAGATCTCACTGCATGTGATGGATTGAATTAAAGTTTCTTCAAGGGTGGTACCAGTTGTGGTGAGAAGGCACCTAACCTACTTTAGCTGATTGGTTTCATCACAGTGTGCTGTTTAGTCAAAAACTTCCATTGATAAAGTACGTGCTCCTTTTAAAGTCAATTTATTGTAGCAGTTGTTCTGTATGGCTATCTGTAAGTCTACTGTTAATTATGGAAACAGTGCAATCAGGGGAATAGACTTTTTGATAAAAGGTTTTTGATTCAAGTCTGTATGGGCAAGGCACATGTAAAAAGGAAAACTCAGTACAGAAACAAACATATGGAGACTTCAGTTAAAATTCCTCATATCACTTGTGAAACTTAACTTATTTAGTATTCATTATTTAGTATTCATTAAATGGCAGTAGATCATCATAAAGGTCTTCATCCTTGTTTTCTTTACATTAAATAGCCTGAGGAGGAAGAGGAGGGGTTGGTCTTGCTGTTTTGGGTATCAGAGGTAGAAGAAAATCTGCATAGAAGTAGACCCACTTATGATAGTTTTAGTGTACACTTTTAGTATAATTAAGTGGTTAATTTAGTATAATTAACCACATTTGTGAGTCTTTAAAAGTGATGAAAACATTGTCTCCTTGGTTTTTAAGTTGCTCTAACACTTTATAAAAACAAAACCACCTAATTTTTCAGTAAGAATTGATCTTTTAAATTTTATATATGCAGAAGCTTTTTAATGGTCTATATAGGCATAAATAGGATATAGCTTTTAAAAGCCTAAAGAAAAAAAGAAAAACATTTGTAATTATTTCCTTTGCAAGGTATACACTGTAATTGCTGTATTTAAATATTTGAAAACCTCCATATTGCCACATGAGCAACTGTGACAAGTGAAACTATGATTGACAGATGAGAAAAGTTTCTATATTTAAAATTCAATTTAGCAAATTGACATTTTCTATTCCCTTTTCTAATGTTCTCTTATTCTAACAGATCACTCTTTTAAAACAAAACACAGACCAGGCATTTATTTGACTGTCATGAAGAATTAAACATGAAAAGATGAGATGCTGTGGCTATCACTTTCATTAAAACCAGCTGCTGTGGTTTTAAAATGCAAACCAGATCAAAATCAGCACAAACCCTGGGGGTTTAATTTATATACTAAATGAAGCAGCGTGTTTTGAAAGAATACTTCTCTCTCTCTCTGTCTCTCTCTCTCTTTTTTTTTAACTTTGGAAGAAACTTGCAAGACTATCTCATAACTTGATCTTTATTTACACTGGTGCCATGAGTTGGGAAGACCAAGATCAAGAATTATCTCTATTTTACTGATGGGAACATTGAGACAGAAGACAGGCTTGACTTGCCTAGGCCAATTAGTGCCAGGGATATTGTTAGAATTCCAGGCTTCTGTGAATATCTGTATTCTAACCCCATTAGCTCTAGATCCATAATGTTATTCTAGGCCTTTGTCCTGGCCCAAATTCTATACTGTAGCAATGATGTGCTCTAGTTAGATCCTATAAGTTTGTGAGAACCAATTGTGAAATATTTAGGATTTTTGTGAGCTACTATTAAGATATTGATAGCTTGAAATCAGCCATGCTGGGAATATTTATACCATAGAAATAAGCACTACAAATCAGGCCCTCCCCCTTGCCTCCAGCACACTAGTAATTGTGTCTCAGTATAAATTGAAGAAGGAAAACACATGACAATAAAAAGAATTCAACAATGTGATATAAATAAATATAACGTAATTTTTAAGTGCAGTACTTAATCTAGGGTAGCACAGATCTATATTTCTTTCCTTCTTAATTTATAATTTTGCTTTTAAGAAGTAGATATATGTGGACAACACTGTGAGGAAAGCTTGAGAATTAAGCTTGAGTGTTGTGAGGACCATTCTTAACTATTCTTTAAGAACTAGGTCAAGTCCCAGCCCTTCCAAAAGGTTATGGCAAGCTTTATGGCTTTTTCTTTGTCTGAACCTCTAGTGGATTTAAAATAGAGCCACGTACATTGGGATTTAATTACTTACTATTTGTTTCATAAGAATTAATTTTTTTCCCCTAAGAATACAATGAACTCTTTGAAGAGTGGGACATGGAGTTCCCTTCTTTCTTTCTTTGGATAAATATTTAATGAACACCAATTCTGTGCCTTTTGTCCTTCTCATTTCTTGAGAAGCAGAAGTTATCAAACACAAATCCCTGCCTTTTTGGAGCTAATAGTCTAGTGAAGTCAGAAATTAAATAAATGAAAAACCATGGATATCATGAGTATTTCGAAAAGTTATTTGTAGTGTGGGGATTGTCTGATAGTGGAATTTTATCTATTCAGGAATGTAAATAAAAGCTTCCTTGAGGACATTGTGATTAAATGAGATATCTGAAGAATGAGAAAGAGTTAACTTGAAGTTACCAGGTCTTGAATATAATTTCTGTATGTAGGCTTTCTGTGCCCTCCCAATCTGAATTTAGTTGCCTTATTATATGCCCCCATATTCTGATGAATTTTCCCTTTGTAATAGTAACTGCAATTTTTAATTTTATATTTATTTATTAAGTATCTGTTCCCTGCTCCCCACTAGACTATTGGCTCTACAGCTGATACCTTGTCTGGTTCACCTTGGTAGGCCCAGTCCTATATATTATAGTACCTGACACTTTATAGCCACTCGATAGTTGCTAATGCTTCTATTAGCAACTGTGTCCTTGTCTCATCATAAAGCTGGTATATGTCCTGCCTAATTCTCAGTTATTGAGAGGACATAGTAATATAATGTATATGAGAAGACACAAGTCAGAAAAGACAGAATCTAGAATAATTTAGTGACACAGAACTCAGGAAGGACCAAATATCCAGGAGTGAATAGAAGTAAATCAGTAGCAGTGTTGTCTAGAAGAAAGAAAAGGCCGTTCTATTTGGCAGTAAGGAAGTTTTACTTATTCATCTTATTTTAAGGAAATTTGTTCAATCTGTAAAACAGATTTTTAAGTGTTTTCTGAAGTTAAATACCTGGTATTGCTTTTTAAAATTATTTTTTTGTGGAAAGTAAAAGGAATGTGTAAATGAACATGTTCTTGAAAAAAAGTAAGCATATATGTATAGAATATTGTTAAATGTGCTGGAGGAAGGAAGGAAGGAGGAAATACAAAAAGGAAGGAAGGAAAGTAGGATAGAAAACCACATGTGCAAAAAGACTGGATGGTAATTGACAGGACTTACATGATTCTCTTTAAATGATAGGACTGTGGGTGATACCTTTTCCCTTTGTACTTTTCTGTATTTCTCAAGTTTTTCAATTTAATGAGTCTATATTACTTTTCTAATGAAACAATAAACAAAATAACACCACATTAAATTGACAATTGATTTTGCATTTGGGCAGAATATACAATTATGCCTCTAAATTTGGAGGACTCAGAACTATATTTTAGATTTTCCTTTTACTTACCTTAGTTTACTTACAGTTTATTAATGTTAAATGCCAATCGGATCTTTGTTTACATGTCCATCTGTACCCTGGAGTCTGAGCTATTTGAAGGTGGAGACTTTTTGTTGTTTTTTTGAGACAGAGTCTCGCTCTGTCTCCCTGAGTGGAGTGCAGTAATGTCATCATATCTCACTGTAACCTCAAGCTCCTGGGCTCAAACCATCCTCCTGCCTCAGCCTTCTAGGTTTCTGGGACCATAGATGTGTGCCATGATGCACAGATAATTTTTCTCTTTTTAGTAGAGACAGGGTCTCACTCTTGCTCAGGCTGGTCTGAAACTGCTGAGCTTAAACAATCCTCCCACCTCAGCCTCCACATGAGCCTCACAGACATGAGCCACCACACCCAGTCTGAGGGTGGAGGTTTTTTATCTTAGTAGTTCTAGCATCATTCCTGGCAGTGACACATATTTGTTGAATGAGTAACTTTTGAAACTGGGTGCTTTGGCTCTTTTATTGCCTTTAATCTATGTGCCTTTCTTTTTTTAGAACATAGGTGTGAAAGCCACAATGAATGGTCATATTTCTAATCATCCCAGTGGTTTTGGAATTTACCCATCTCAAATGAAGTAAGTTGAAAGGTTTATATTTAATTTGTTTGGGGGGGGGCTTTGATTTGGTGGTTTTGATTGTTTTGTATCTCTAATGAAATGATTAGTTTCATTTCTTCATGTAGTTCATTCCTCATTAATATATAGTATCTTTGTATTACTAATACATTATCATTAAAAGTTTACTGTGTCTGATTAAGAGTAAGATGGTAAAGTGAAACATCAGCTCAGTGCTAGTGATTGCATAGTTGAGAGATGTTTCATTCTGGTAGTTTATTTGCTTTTCATAGTTGAAAATATACTCTACTTCTGAGCTTTGATTTTCTATTGAGCATTCTATTTTTGTTCTTAAAATATTGGCATTTGAGAAGAGTTAAATGTAATTTAGTTCAGACTGTCAAGATATTTACCATTCTGTAAAACAAGAAAAGCTCAGGCAAACAAATAAAACAATTCCAGTGGCTCTGGGTATAATTTGAAATCACAACCCTGACTTAAGTGGCCCTTGTCTCATTGTGGTGAATGTTGTTATGTGATGTTGGCATTGTGGTGTACATTTTGCTCATCATTTTTCAGATCAGATAGTATTTACTATATCTATTCTAGAGAATAAAATTTAATTTTTAAGCCTAATGTTAAAGGCCCCCAATCTGCCTCTGCTTCTCCAGCCATTCATCTGCTCTGGACATGTCACGTTAACTGCATTTTTCCTTAGACACCATGCTATTTCATGAGTCAGTTCCACTTGCATTTTCCCACTTGATTCTCTGCCTGTTTTTTGAGCTTTCTTTGTATTCTTTTAGAGTCTACTTAAGTGTCAACTTGGTGGCAGAGTTTTCTTGGACATGTGGAGAAGATATTAATCTTTCTTTGATTTTACATGTCATATTCATTAGTTTTACCTAGGTATCACATACTATTGTAACCATTTTACTTATCTTGTTAACAGTATGCTGTCTCTCCTCCCATACTCCTTATTATTCTAGGTTTCAGGGCTTAATAAATGTTTATTGAATAAATGAATAAAATTCAAATAAATCAGTATTTACTTCACACAACACATTAGTAACAAGAGCCTAGATGATAGAGTAAAGCAGGTCATATTTAATGATAAAGTGTTATTTAGGTCAGCTGTATTTTAAGTATTTGTGAACATCATGCCTAGTACATTATGTCTTAAGCTTAAATCATTGGGAACTTGTTATAACTGGATTACCGCAGAAATGAATTCAATATGGTAAACTTAAAACTCTTCTAAGATAGTTTGAACCTTGGTGAATCCTCTTGGCTACCGTCATGACAGGTGAGGTTGTGATTTATACCAGCCTCAGTCCTCATTAGGGTGGTGTGATTTATGTTTTATTTCTTCACCACTCACCAGAGCAGCATCTTGCTGATTTTGACAAGCTCAGTCAATGTAAACTCAGTATGTTTTTTGTGAAAACACAGGGTGATTACAGTGCATTGGAATTTTTATTTTCTAGTTTGAGTTTCTATTACTTACTTTGGACTTTAATCCAACACAATGACCTTTTTTTTTTTTTTATTGCAGTGGCTACGGATCATCACCCACCTTTTCTCAGATGGACAGAGAACACAGTTCAAAAACAAGTGCAAAGGCCCTTTATGGTATGATTGTTTATTTGATGGGGGTATAATTCTGTTTCTAACCACTTTTTACAAATTGTAATTTCAGGGTTGGAACCCACACCCTGTTCATATTGTTTGTAATAAAGTGGTGACTGCTAAATAAGGATTATTTTTAAGAAGAATTTTTATAAAAGCTACCAAAGCTATGAACTCTGCTTGTTGTCATATAATTTAAAACTACAGATGAAATGTATTGCACTGCTTTTGAAAATCCTTGTGTGGCACCAGTGCCTTATGTGGGTTTTCCCATTTACTAGTTGTAATATGTTTGTTGATCTTTGTGACTAATCCAGTCAATGTGGGCTGACAGGTGACAGAATTTTTTCCTTATAGCTCTTGAACCTTTTGAGTAGTATTACATTGTGACTGGCACTCCTTATATAATTTCTTTCTGTACTGCAAAATAAGCTTTCTCTTTGCTCTTTCTCTAACTTCCAATGCCTTCTCTAGATTGTCTCACATATATGCAATATATTTTAAACTTAAAATATAAAATAGAAGTTATTACTAAAAAGAAGTTGAGGACTCCTGAGATATACCACATATGTTAAGGAAGGCATTTGTTTGTACAGGGTCTATATGGCCTTTTATTACTGTATAACAATAAAGAATCAGAATAGTGTTGTGGTTAATAGCAAAGACTGCAACCAGACTTCTTAGGTTTAAATCAAGTTCTGTTATTTATTACCTGAGTGATCTTGGGCAAATTACTTCACTTGTCTGTGCCTAATTTTGCTTATCTGTATAATGGGGATATCTCATAGGGTTGATATGAGAATTAAATGAGTTAGTACATGTAAAATGCTTAAAACAGTGCTTGGCAAGCAGAAAATACTATGTCTTTGCTATTATTATTATTAATATTATCATTGTTATTATGTACTATAGGTACCAACAGCATTTTCTAAATTGTGGAATTATTTTATTTTTGCATTATCTAGATCTACAGCTTTTTGGCTGGGGTAAGAATGAACAATTTTAAGGTTTTGTGATTCTTTTTTTTGCCTATGTTCTTAGTAAATTGGCATTATCACTCACATCATACATTCATTAAATGGATTTGATGCCATACCTGGGTTTTTTAATGGCTTTGTCAATCTCATTAGTGTTGGTTTCAGTTTCTTGATTACTATATTGAGACTTTCTTACACAGTCAAGTAGTTATGAATTGTAAATCTAGAGAATGCAGTCCATAAATACTCATAAATATATGCTCAGTACAGGACCGGTAATACATGACCTCTTTCTTTAGGGGATGTAGTCTAGAGAGTGACTTGAAGGTAACTGAAAAAGGAAAAGCTTTTGATAAGAATAAAGTAATCAGTTTTTCATTTCTAGACAGATGGTTATTAAGTACATCGGTGTGTGAGGCCATGATCTTCATAGTCTCTATTTCTCTGTTATTCATTTCAAAGATGAATAAGAGAGGGTCATTGCCTGTGTGCCATTTGGTGAGACAGGCTAGTAAATACAGTGTCATAATAAATAGCTCCGGAATCCACCCGTAAAACCCAAGCATTTAGAAACACTGTGGTAGTGTTAACTAGATCTATTGAATTTCAGAGAATAGCCCTCTAAATTGTTTACACAAAAACAATGGATATGCTTTAGTCTTCATACTATTATTTTTAACAGAATCAGGGCACAAAAGTCTTAACCTATGTGGAAAAATTAGGTAATTGTTGGAGTGTGGAGTATATTACTTTAGATGCCTCTCATGAGAACATTCCACCTATGGTGCTTATTGTACACAATTGTCACAGTTGAGACTTATTAGTTGCTGCTAATTTCTTCTACTCTAAGGTTAAGCAGTACATCAGTCATGATCCAAAGGTTTGTGGGCAATGTTACTACAAAATTATTTCCTATAAAATTATTCCTGTAAATTATTTCCTATAAAATTATTATAGGAAAGACATCCTGAGAAATTAGGGTAGTGAAACTTAAGAAGTAGGCTGATTCGAATTCTTGGTTTAAAATTTTAGTAAAAATGTAGTTTGCCAAGTTTATTTCAGTTCTTATGTAAGGTATTTCAAATAAATTGTTAGACCATTTTGCATGGAAGCTTCATACTGATAACTAGTCTGTGGTTCTTTGCAGTTTCTTAAAGAAATTATAAGCCAGGCACAGGGTTTATGTTTAGGTTTTAAGCACTTTTATAACAATGAGAAGTGACTTCTTAGAGATGGGTAACTTTCAATAGTTTGTTAACTTGACATCTCTGCTAATTTAGTTTCTGAGCAGATTTCATGTGTCAGTACACCCCCTTGTCTTTTACATTAATTATGTTGTTTTGTATTAATAAAAGTGGAATCTAAGTGTTTGTGTGTCCATTGTACTTGCATGTGTAGCCAGTTGCTATGCCCATTCAGTGTTTAATGCATAATTGGACCTTGAATCAGTAATTGTAAATACAGCTTTTCATCTGTAATGCTTTTATGCAAAGGTTTTTATTTTAATAACAAAACATTTTGTTCTAAAAAATGATAAAGGGCTAAATGTGCTTGGATGGCAGTGTATATCAGGTGCAGTAGGAGTGGTTAGTTCTTCTAAATGAGGGGATGGTCAGAAAGGATTTCACAGTGGACTTGAGCCTTGAGCTGAGCTCTGAAAGGTCAGTTGTGTTCTGTAGGCATTGGGGGGCAGGAGAATGCTGTAAACAGCAGTATGAAACCTTTGTAAGCTACACTATCAGCTTTATGAAGATGGCCCATATTTGTCTTGATCACTTCAGGATGCCCTGTGCTTATTAGCACACTGGCTAATGTGTAATTTATATTCAGTAAATACTTATAGAATGAATATAATGAATTAATAAACTTTAAGCAGTTGGTGTTAACTGGAAAGTGCAAGGGGGTGCATTGGTAAATAAGACTGGAAAAATGAACATAGACTGCATTAGGAAGAATCACACTAAGGGATTTAGACATTGTTTATAAGTAATGAGTAGCCTGTGATGTGCTTTAATCAAGGTAGTAATTGGTCATATTTGTCTTGTTTCACTCTAACAGCAATACTGATGATGTATTTGATGGGTATGGATGGCAATAGGTGAATCAGAGATTTTAATGTAGTAAATTAGACATCTTATAATAGTCTTAAGACTTTTATTGAGGAGAAAGAGTATACATTCTCTCACAAATAACCATAGATCAAAAAGTCTACTTTTCAGAGAGCTAATAAAGGAATAAGGGTAGAAGATAGGATAGGACTCAACCTGAAAATTTTAATGTCTATATTGTGTTAGAAGCAACTTTAAAAAATCTTAGATACAAAGATTGAAAATATTCATCTTTTAAACAGTGAATTTTGATCCCCACATTTATATATAAAGCAAGCTTAGTACCCTTTTTAAGGTTAGATGATTTTTAAAAGTTGTGTAACTTAAAGATAATTAGACCATAAGAAAACATAACAATTTGTGTAGTGTGATGAAAATGAACAGTAGATAGGTAAAATGGAGGAGATAAAGAAAGGGGCAAATCCAAGATGCATTTACTGGGAGACAGAAGACTTAGCAATGCATTTGGCTTAGAAAGAAGATGGATTTAAGTTGTAGATAATGTTTCTTTCCATTCCCTACCAACATACCACACACACACACACACACACACACACACACACACACACACACACACACACTGCCTTCTTTCTGTCAGTTCTCAGTAAGTGCCTATGGAATGAATGGCTAGATGGATGAAGGACAGTGGAGAAATATATTCATGTTTTGAAAGAACCTTTGCAGTACATTCTAGTTGCTGTCTTTTTAGATAGCTCTGGGAGTGTTTAGCCTCTGGTCTGCATAGTCTTAACTTTCTCTTTGTAACTGGAAATTTGGTGAAGGAGAGATTCGTAATACACTTTATTTTGTCACAATTTATGCATCTTCTTTAAAAATTTCTCCTTTCACAATTATTAAACTAGTTGAGTAAATCTTACAAGAATTAATTTGCCTTCATGGGTGGTACATGAACTTCTTTGTGATATGAGGATGCTATTTAGTGCCCAGGAACATGCGTTTTCACAATAATGGTTACTGTTTTTCTAATACACTGAGTGTAGTCCAGATACTGTATCAGAAATTCCATGTAGGTTGTCTTTTTCATGAGAACACTTTTCAGGTCTGACACCATAATGTGCAACCTGATTAATTCTAATAAACATGCTCAGAGAGGCATGGATTTTGGAGGCCAGGGGGTCTGCAGTAGAATCATGGCACCTCTACCAAATGGCTGCTATTTTAAACAAAATGATTTAATCTGTTGCCCTCTAATTCCTCATCTATAAAATAGAAATGATAATAATTCTGTGGTGAGTTTGTATAAAAAAATATAAGTGAGGGCCCTTTCATGGAAATGGGGAGGAGTACTGAAGAGTCACATTGTATCCTGGGTATGCAGACCCTCAAATTTAATATGTTGATATTACCTGCAAATGATGTTATACATCTAATCATGGTGATACTTTGACAGGATCAAGAGTTAACCTTCGTCATCTATTTTTAAAACTTATGTTCCAGACATCACTTCCTATAGTACTCCAGGAATATATTTTTTTATAAATCCTGTAAAATGTATTATGAACTATGCTTTTATATGACAGTAAATCTGCTTTTGTGGGATGTATGCTAATTTATTTATTCATGGAAAACGGTTAAAATATGCTACAGTTTTAATAACTTTGTTTTGTAATTTCTTTACTGTTATACAGGAAATTTCCAAGCCAGCATGTGAAAGGCTCTGTGTCACTATTGTCCCTGACAAAGTAATACTTACTTAGGAAAATAAACATTAATTTCTTTCTCCTCCACTTATTTCATGATAGTAGCATTTCATTAGCTACTGTTATCAAAGAATAGGAAATTTTATATTTTTTTCAGCTAGCCTGTTTGTCAGTCTTTAGAGACTAAAATTTAAAATCATTTTTATGGGAAATACTTATAAAATACATTAAATAGTCCCTTCCCTAAGGAGTGGCAC